GCCTGAGTCATGATAAGAAGGACAGATTTTTCCTGATTAGATAGCAACTCCTTTTAATTGTTCATGTCCATAAGCACAACTGTAATGGTTGTGTACTGTTTGATGCTTTAATCCAAAAAGTGTCATTGAAAAATAAAAGCAGCAGATTTGAGATGATGTGGTATATAATAACACCATATTTATTTTGTATGCCATTTAGTTTTATAGGCTGTTTATTAGCACACTCAGAGAAAGGAGAATTTGCAAGAGGAAGTGGTTCAGTGAAGCAGTGCATCTTTCCTTGTTTTGCCCATTCCCATTCCCAGATCCTGCACTCTGCTAATACATTGTTCATGCCTGCAGTCTGTGATGCAATGTGACCCTTGAAGAACTTGTTATACTCTGGTTCCTTCAATGGAGGACCAAGTGGGATGTTGGATTTGTATCACGGAAGGCCAGGTGCAAATCGCCACCCAACCACGGAGCTTAGTATGTATCAGCCGGAGAATTATCTTTCAGATTACCCCACTTTACAGCTGTGTTTTGGGAATGAATCAGAATAATCTTGTGTGCTTTTACATTGTCCTTGGGGAAGGAAACAAGTATCAGGGATAAAGAAGTGCAATTTTGGCAGAGCAATTTGGCTTCCTAGAATATGGCATTTAGACTCGGGTTGAATACAAATTGTCTTTTGAAATTCTCCAGTGAATTTGTGGGCAGAGAATTAGGGTAAATGATTGTCTCCAGAGGAAGGGGAATTATTCTATCACTTTTTTCAAGAACAAGATTTTCCCTTAGGGGTGATAGCAGCACCACTCTCGAAAAAGCCCTGTGTTAGGAATTCCCTCCTGATGTTTTTTCTTGGTACTTAACAAAAGCATGGGAAGCCCAGCAGGCTGCAGATTGCTGAAGAGAAGATAGTGCAGCAAAGATAGTTATTCTTACACAGTATCTGGCCAAATTGTAATTAGATAAGTCAAGTACACCACACTCCACCCATTAGATTTCTCCAAAGCCTTCCCCAGCCTAATGCTCTATAGAAGCATTGGATTTCAACTCCCAG